CTCAACCGTATAAGAGATTACTGTGGAATTCAGACGTTCTTTTGGTGGTTTGGCTTTGAAGCCGGGAGTTCCAAATTGCAGAATTGGTATAATAGTTGCTCATTTTAATCCCTTAGTAGGGATATGTTTTGACAATCCAAGTCGACAATATTGCATTTCAATCGAAATAGATGCATGGAGTGAGATGAAGTTGTCGCCACTAGAAGTATATATATGACAAGGTAGGAGTTCATGAGAAATAAAGCTAGACACCGACGACACGACAATTCAAACCATTTAAAATTGAATTAACTATATGAGATATTTTAAAGATTCAACATGGTGGAAAAAACGAAGTATATTATTTCACCAGTAAAATTAATCATTAATTCACTTTACAATCGTGCACGTATTTATGATTACTTCTATCAGTAAAATAAATTTTTTGCCCTTGATAATACATTTATAAAACATCTTGTTTACACATCTAATACTTATGCTGAGCATTAAAAAAACAACGCAAAACGAAATCACTTTATCTAACAATGTTTGGTGTTATTACAAGCTCTTCAAGAATCCTTATTTTTAGAGGTGTGAATATCGATACAAGTACATGCTTTTAATGGCTACTTGGCTTTAACATGCTCTGTTATTTAATTTGCAGGGATTTACTCCCCTGTTATGGGCTTGTGCTAATGGACAGAAAGCTGCAGTGGAGTTACTCGTTTTCTATGGTGCAAATATCATTCTATCTGGAGATAACGGAGAAACAGGACTGCTCCTAGCTGCTAGCCGCGGTCACTTTGATGTGGTTCTTTACTTGCTCAAGGCTGGATGCCCAGTAGACCTGTCCGACGAACTGTGCAACACTGCGTTAATGTTCGCAGCCTATAACAATAACGCCGCAATCGTGTCTCTGTTACTCGATTGGGGTGCTGATATTACTTCTATAAATGCAGATGGGTGGACAGCACTGGATTTTGCTATACGACGAGGCTCACGTGCTAGCCAACGTATAATTGAGAAGCATATTTTGTCTCTGTTGCAAACTCATTAGTTTTTCAAACCAAAGCGATCGGAAAGTTTTTTCCATGTTGGGATGTATTTATGTGGTTTTGTATTTGTCATTATTTAAGCTCGATAATTTTCGGACATTTTCACATGCATTGTAAAATTGTCTCAACGTGTATGTATAGATAAACGTAAATTAATAACTTTTGTTAACCCACGTAGTACCGACTTATCTGATGTTTTCTTAACTGTGGTGGACATGTCAGATCACTGAAATGTTTCGTACCGTGTAATCATTTGGGAGAAAACGTCATCTACGAGCGCGTGTTGAATATCAATATAATCACTTGACTTACGCTCATTTTTAAACTAGTCTATCTATTCGAACAATTGTGACCGTTTTTGAAAGGCAACAAATGATCGTTCATGAGACCAATGAGTAGGAATCATATTCGTTTGATGCAGTAGGTATGACTGGTTGATATTGAGCAAACCAAAAGTACAACTCAATCACATCTGTTCTACCGAATGTTTCTATATCTTCAATACCAATACAGTGATGAATGTAAGTATAAGGCTTGCGCGCATCTACCAATAAACACAACTTGACTAGGAGTTCGCTTCTTAAATGTCATCATTTTGTGTGAAATGATAGAAAAAGCGATGAGTTACAAGATCACTGTCTTCATAGTGGTAAAGTCTACTAGGTCTACGAGATGGTAATGGAATTAAAACCGACTCAAAAGATATTAGTATAATTGCGACTATCGAACTGATAGTTTGGTGGCAAAACTGACCCCATAACCCGAAGCAAAAGTATTTCAGAAAACAGTCGTCACCCAACTGGAATATGTTCGGCTGAAACGATTTCGTGAAAAATTTGGTCACTTAAATCACATCACTATTTTATTGAATTGATTCTGTCGTCATAAAATTTTCCACATCAAACTAAGCAGCCTGCTGAAACACATGTACTAGAGTGTTTATCGATTGGGTACCAACCATGCATCACATTATAAGCATTTAGATATGTTGCAAATAGGTCATTCTAATCGTTGAGTTATGACAGCGTGTAAATTGAAGACGAGCTTGGTCTGTTAAACTTCGGATACCGTTTACCCGAGGAAATTCTTGCATGTCAGATTAAGTGTTTCGTTCACAATATTACGGATCGTACCCAATTTAATCTGTGAACTCAAAGCTTAAGTTAACTGGATATACATGGCAGATAATCTCATCTTCCTCGTTTTTGATGTAGAGATCCACTCTTGTGTAAAAATAAACTAGTTAAAAGTACATACAAAATAACGCACCGTTTCTTATGTTACAAAATCTCCAAGAAATGAGACCATCCCGGTGAAATTCAATAGAAAACAGCTTAGTTGAGTTACTTTCATCGCCCAAGTGTTTCATGAAACTATCTGTGCGCTATAAGTAAAACCAAATCTAGCTGTTTGTGATATACTGAGGTATTAGTTAATGAATTTAACATGGAGCAAACTAGTTAGTCAGTAGCTTGCACAGTAAGATTATTTTAGTTCCAATTATGATGCTTAGTCGATCACTGACCAGGTTATGATCGGACTCAATTTTTTGACGTGTGAGTTATTAAAAATTAAAAGCCGCACCAGCTAATGATCTCTAAAAGTAATGTAAACCAACTATAGTTGAGAAAGTGGGTGCGTTAATACATAATTTATCCGTTTTGATGTTAATTAATTACCCTAGACTTCATTAAAGAATACAATTAGCCTTTTCGAATAAAAGTTAGCAGATGAAGAAATTATCTTAAAAATATAGAATGGGTAGTAAGACATCTTATCAGGACTACGTGATATGTTAGCCTAATACATTTCGAACAGTCTAACTTCCTAAGATATATGATAAAAGTCAAACCGAAGCATATGAAAAATTGGTGACAAGAAACTATGAACCACAATAAGACGGTCTTGGTTGCAGCGTATCAAGCAAAATTATTTTCACCTGTACGACTAGTCAGTAGTTGACTATTGACTCCAAATTATTTGTTTCTTTTAAATTAGCTGAACATATTGAACTGTGACACCAATGTTATTATCGATATCAATGGGAGTCTAACGTTAATCGATTTATAATCTCAATTCAAAACATGTTATTGCCTATCGTGAGCTGGGACTCCACGAATCGGATGATAATCCGTGTTTCTTTACACGCAGTACATATTAATGGAGACTGTTTCATGACAATGGATTATCAGATTAGTCTGTCTAAAGTATTTTACACCACAGGTTGTTAAGGCCCTGCGTAGGTGAAGAATAGCCGATGCAGAAAGATACTTTTACTAGTTTTAACAACACAATCCCAAATTGCTGCTAGCAATGTAGAGGCGATGGCTTTAAAAGTTAATGAATATTGTTTATTGAGTGAAACATACCTGTATTCCCGGTACTTATTCCTTCGCTTCCGAGATTTAAATCAAAGCTGCAACGTGATAAGTCAGGTTATGTGGACTACTATCTACAATACCACACCCAAGGCTACTAAGATATAGTCGACATTCACGGAATTTTGACATGCCACCTTTTAAAACTAAGATGAATCATAGATTGACAAGTTTTTATGAATCATATCACTGAACAACCTTATGTTTGTTTCTTTATAAATGCGTTGCTTTTCCATTAAAAGGGGAAAAGAGAGTGAATAACTGACGTGGTAAAAAATAATGTAAATTGTTTGACTTTTAATCGAAGCGTGAATAGTATTTTAAGTAAATGTCGTCATTCTATCCTATTTGTATATGGGCTGTGGTACTGCTCGGGTGCTCAAACAAAAGCAGGTGGTTTTCTTAGAAGGCCACACCCGGAGCTATCGACCTGAAGGTCTGATCCACAAGGCAAAGGAGCATCGTAAGGAGATGCAGTCCCATGGTATCCGATGACCAACAATTGGTTCATACGCCATTTGTTCCTTCAGGATACTGGAGCCCATGTGCACCATTGGTTTGGAATCAGGGTTTTTCAACTCCCTAAGGTGGACTCACCGTGTTCACTGGCCCGGTTAAAGCGCCGGACATTCGCTTTTCGTCCTCTCATTTTCGTAAACACCCCCGCTACGAGGCGGTGAGTAGGACTTCCTTGACAGAGGCTGTATACGCGTGGCCGTGTGAGAGCATTAGAGAGGGAGAGCGGACTCTCCCTACTGTCGGCCGTACCAGGACATTTGTGGGCCTCTATTTAGTTGTAAGTGTACCGTTTATATTTTCTCAACGACTAAACATACAAACTTAAACTTAACTTAAGATAGCTTTAAGTTTGAGAGTGATGTCATTTTGATTATTACGTATAAACCGAAATGTTTCTAATTTATAGCACATTGTAACGAAGCATAATTAAATACTAATATTGGTAACTTTTCGTAGTATAAATAAGTGATTTGTGTCACAGAAGTGGTGATACACTCGTTGAGATATTTAGAGCTATCTTTATTTATCAAACACAAATCTTTTCTTCTGTTTGAAAGATGAGAGAATACTACAACTCAACCATATGTGGAGTTCAGGTTTTTGTATCCAGATTTCAGCCAGATTTTGTGCGAGGGCTAACGATATTACATGCTTGTCCAAACTAACGCAGATGGAGTTGTACTCGAATTACGATCAAGAGGATAAAAGTCCAATGTCCTGACCACTAAGCCACTGCTTTATTGATACTGTCAAGCTCGCAGATATAGAGTTTAGTAAATACATTTAGGATTTTTCAGTATCGGCCGATTTTCTCTTATTTTTGCCAAAAATTATACAATAAACGGTAAAATATTCATATTCTTGAGTTCGCTGTGTGTATAAATATTTGTGTTAAGAATCAGATTCATTTTAAACGGAAAAAGATCGCACTACACAGCCAGAGGTTTGTCAATGTCTTTATCACGCTAATCCACTTTTTTTTCTCAAAGCAGATCTATGCCTCATCGTTTATATTATTACTAATATCATCACTAAAGAATCTCTTGGATTTGATAATTCCACCTCGCTGTAATGATGGGATGTGACAATTTAGTTGATGTGCACATGTGCTGAAACATACATTGCGTATAACTGACTGTTATTCTTGAAAAATTCAAAACATTACTGTAATTGTTTTAAGTTTATAAAAAGTAGCAACAGTGCGGTTTGATAATCTCAAAAGTGTAAGGCAGTCTTAATAAACATTTACAGACTGGCAAAACCATGCAATAAAAATAATAAGCCAAAGTAAATAATCAAGAGAAGAAACTTTACACAACCAAAACATATACTCAGGGGTATAAGAAAAAGATAAATTAGAAAACTATTTGTTATTACGGTGAGATTACTCCTGACCATTCCAATTAAAGCCACCAGGTCTTCCCACTTCTGGGAGAGGCTCATAAGCACGATTAATTTGTCGTCTATTAAATAAATATTTCCTAATATTAGAAAAATACACGTCAGCATTAATTATTCAGGCCTACATAAATTCAGGCGTACGGAGTATTCGAAATCCATTCACTTGATTAGGATATACATCTTCGAGGAAATAATAAAGATGACCAACAAAAATACCTAAACAGTTAATAATGGTGAAAACCTCCTTACCAATAAGATCAACCATCATATTATTCCCAAGAAGGAAAGAAAATGCAAAAAACACCCAGGGAAGGTATGGAGCATTTACTTCTATTATCCCGAATATGTTTAGCCTCACTAATGGATTTCTTCTACTCCAGACGTAAACAAGCATCATTGTCAAGACATGACTGAGAAACAGCATGTTAACAAACAAGGCGATTATCTGAAAAAAAACTTAATGAAAGACACCCTACTATCGTGAGAGTTCCACAAAACAGAAACATCATGACAAAGTCAGCAGTTTTCGTACTGTACCACGTTTCTTCCAACATACGGCAGTATCGATAAGCGAACAGGATATTAAAGAGAAAACTAAAATTGAATGATCCGAAGAAGCAAAACGATGTCACCAGCCTCCATAACTAAAAAAACGGCTATTAAAAATACGCGAGAATACAAACCTGAAAGTTATTCGCTATTAAAGACGGATTGAAATATAATTGAAAAGGAGAAATTAAGTTGAGTTGCTAAGTTGTAAAAATAACGACTGAAGAAGATGCTTACGACTGCAACTGTTAGTAGAAAACATGTTGATATGTATGCAGACGTAACAGGAGGAGTATTTGATATTTCTTGAGAGATTATATCCATCAGAATTTAGTAACGACGAGGCACAGTGATTAATAATGCCGCTTCATATTATTTAATTAAACTCACTATCTTACTACCTGTAACTTCAGTTTTTCATAAGGAGAAGTTCTGAAAATATTTTTAGTGACTGAGTTATTTTTGTTTTTATAAGCGCGGGAGATTTATTTTCAGGGCGGCCGATTTTTAATGACGAAAGACTTAATAGGCGCTCTTCGGGCTGTAAGTGTGTAATATAGTTGTTATATGTCCCTCAGGCGCAACCTGAAGATGCAAATGACCTGCCCGACACTTCCTTGCCCCTTGATGGATCTCAGTACATGAATGATTTTTTCTCTCAAGTCGAGGATATTCGAAACTTGATTGAACGGGTTCAATCTCTTGTTGATAATGTAAAAAATAAACATAGTGACATACTTTCTTCGCCTAACCAAGACGAAGGTAGTTTTTAACTTTTCAATAGTCTTTGTGTTGCAGCTACGAAAGCTCAACTTGAAGATGCTATGGCTGAAATTAAGACAATCGCACACAAGGTGCGTGCGAAACTAAAGCGTAAGTGATTTTACTATCTGTTATTTGTAGAAATGGAAATGAACATCGAGTATGACGAAAACTCTGACAGGACATCAGCGGATTTACGGATAAGAAAGACTCAGGTAAAGTTAACCTGTGCCTCGCTCATCGTTTATAGTACTCCACAATTTCTCGGAACTTTATTGAAGTTATGACCGACTATAACAAAGCTCAAGTTGCTTTCAGAGACGCCTGCAAGAACCGAATAAAAAGACAAATGGAGATCGGTTAGTTTCATATCATATACTCATGTCCATGTCCATTGCGATACAAACTTGCTTGTTTATTTATTTTTAAAGCACTAAAATTCTGTGTATGGACTTTAGTTCACTACACTCACGTGCTTCTATCATTTTCTCGAACTTTTGAAGATTTCATCATTTATAGCTTTGACCAAATGAGTGAAAGTATTCCTAATTTTATTGTACAACTAAACTTGGTTTAAAATTACTTCAGAACCAGTTTAGTCATTTAATATCAGACTGACCACAATTTAGATCCCTGATATGAATGCGTTTTATAAGCACGAATATCGTTAGCCTTCAAAAATGTAAATAGTTTGTTCTTGCTCCTGTAGATAAAGGTTAATACCGAACCTTAAAATCCTCATACCTTCTAGTTGCATTTTCGATTAATAGCACTAGCATCCTGACAACGCTTACTATACTCAGTGTTTCTTTCTTTGTTTAATGACAGCCCATCTCTGTTTTTGATTTATTTTCGAGATACTAAGAAAGATAATGTGGTATTTTGTTAGTGTTTCCTCATTTTCAAACCTTTTTTTATTCTCAAGCAATAATGTCCTGTGAAGAAGCATGTTCTGGCTGTTCCACCCTATATATGATCCTAATATTCCTTATTCCACACGTTCTCTTCGTACTTAATATGTTATACGGATTTTCAAGTCTATTTAGTCTTTCTTTTCTGTTACACATTAGTACTTAATACAAATTTGGACTTAATCTTTTCTCACATTTAAGATTGTCGAATCACGTCACTTAGTTTCATTGGTCAGAACTTCATACGTAAAACGATATACTCCTCAACATTTGTATGATTAGTAGACGAAAAAACTAGTCACGGGTATGTCGGTAGTCCTATTATACTTATCAATTGCCTCGTCAACTGTAAACAATTCATTACTCTATGTATTGGTTTTTTCATTCATTTAATCTGTTTTCTCGTTATCTGCTGCGGTTGATTTTTTTACCCCTAGATCCACCTTCAACGAAATAGTTTAAGTTATTAGGTGTATATTCTAACCCTTACGTCATACATATCTGACCGTCCTAATGATTATTCCTTCAATGTCACACTGGCAATCATTTTGTAGCAACAGTTAAAGTAAGCTTAGCATTGTGCCTTTCTAACAGTCTCACATGATCTTTCTGTCTCATGTATCCCAAGGTTTCACAAGATCTATGCAGTCACCTAACACTTGTTTCGTAAACCATATTCCGTTCATTTAGGACCAAAGTCCGATCGTCGTAACTTATCTGAAACCTTAGTTCCTATACCTTCTTTACATCTGATTCATGCACCCGAACAGCTCATTAAAAGATTTGCTTCCTCATTTTTATTCACTCGACTATCTCCTGAGTCCTTATTTCAACTATGCATGAGAGTTTATCATCAGTTATTTAATGATCCCCTTTTGAGTAAATCCTCGTGCATTGAAGTTTCGTTGATTACACACTCTGCCTTTACGTTTTGAGAGAACTAACAAAAGTTTATGAGTTAGAAACGAACTTTTTGTCCCTAAATTGAAGCGGAGGATTAGTGGTTGAATCATTTGACTACCAACCTTTAGTTACGTGTTTGAATCTTGCTCTGCCTAGTTCATTCCACGTAACTGATATTGTATCATCATACAACAAAAATATGTTCAGGGAGAAGTGCGAAAACTACTTGATTATTGAGTCACATTAAGATGGTTTCATATGATTAGTCCTCATTGACTCCAAATTATAAACGAAACGACTAATATATATGTTTTCATGATCATCAGTTACATTGAAGTCTCACTTCTTTTTAGTAGGCCGTTTTATACATTAAACCTGTTGGTAGTTTTTGAGTAGCTACCTATATCAACACACTCCTACAGTCCGGCCACAACCTTTAGAACTAATTATGGTGTTCTAAAACGGAGATAATTACATGCAACGTCTCTTGTCGTTACATTTATTAAACCCATATTTTTACGTGAATTATGATAAACTAAATATAGGGACTTCTTGTCAAAACTCAAGAAGGCGCCACCGTTGTGTATTGAATCCCAGTGAAGTACTGCAAATTAGTTTTTAATATGTGGTTGCGAACATATATATATATATATATATATATATATATATATAGACTAAATAAAGCAATTTTTTGTTTTACACATAGTGTGTACTTTAGTTTTTTTTAATGGGGAGTAACTTTTCATTTTAGCTGAGAGAAAGATTTCTAATGAAGAATTGGAGGATATGTTAGAATCTGGAAATCCTGCCATTTTTACACAAGAAGTTAGTTTGTTCGAATTTAGTTTATAACGAAACTTTATTATTCTGACCCACTTTATAGAAATGATATATGTACTTATATTACCAGTCCCGTTAATTGTCAAACATTATACTGATTACTCTATATTTCTCAAATTTTTTAATCCTAGCAACCCATTTTGATAATAATCGACAGTCGTTTTAGTAATTCCTAAACTTTCCACAATCACATGCAGTTTTTTTTTTAATAAAGCTGATATCTAGTGGGTCAATTGTCAGTATAGATGAACTCTTTTATAGTAAAGTAAAGCGCTAAGATAAGAAACGTTTTTGAGAATAATTTTTCATGTTTAAGGATAGTTAAGTTCTCAATAACATTTTACGAGACTTAACGTGTGACTTTGCATATCTTCAGTGATCACCGACAACTTTCGAACTACGTTTCATATCAAGCGATTATGCTCCACGTATTCATTGCGTCTTAAGCTCTGTTTGGGCAGCCAGTCGGTCAGTCACAACGTAGGACCTGGTATGTATTTACACTAGTTCAAGTTGCCATACCCCGTTAGCATAGAGAGATGAAATTGTCTGGCGAAACCCCAGAATAATAGTAGTAGTCTCCGTAGCAATAAGGAAAATTAGACATTGAAGCTAAAGATCAAGAGAAATTATATCAGAAGGGGTTTTGTAGATATTATAGTAATTTTAAATGTTGAGATCATGAGTCAGTTGAAGCTAGGCCACTGTTATAACTTGTGGCCTGTGTGCCCTGATAACGTATAACGGGATGATACCACCAATTAGAGAGCAGTGAATTATCGATTGGATCAATGACGCATAATACCCTTACGAGCAGTCTAGAGTACTTATCGGTCTTGCTTCCTGCCTAGCCCAGCCAGTTGAGTCTAGAACACCAACCTCAGCCTCTGCGATATGAATCATGTATTTCAAAAATACTGGGTTTATAAACCAACCAGACAGACCACATCATACCATAAAATAGGAAACAACATTTGTACAAGGCAGCCAAATATGGTTGTGAATAAGGGAGATAGTAATTGATAGATAGGGCATAACTCAAGAATGGTAAATCGTATGATAATAGTTCATAGGCCAAAACAAAGCTTATGATAAGAGGAACACGAATATGAACACTTTAGTCATTTAACAATTATACAATGAAAATATACTTATAGTATAAATGGATCTCAAAAGTTAACATTCATTATTCTTATGGGGATATAACAGCCACCATGTAAAGCTTGAAAGCACTGAACGGCCGTTTCTCCCTATTGTGGGACTCCTCAGCAGTGCGCAACCACTGAAGAAAAATATATGTTCGTGAATTAAAAACTAACGAAAGTTATGACGAATTTAGAATCTCAGAATCTGGGAGAAACCAAAGAATGGATGCACTTGCGCCATTTTAAACGATTTTAGCCATGTCATTCAAAGTCTCTAACCCTCTGTGTTCGGTATTCATTTCTGCTATTATAAGGCTTCTGACTATCGTTCAAAATGTTCTAGAGATGATAAATAGTGCGACTCGGTAGTCAAGTACGATTCCTGGATAGTCTAACAGAAGTAAAACCGAGTTCAAATTGACAATTCAGTACTCAAATATTGAGTGTCTTAATCAATATGTTATCGCTCCACACACTTAAATATTTATTTCGTTAGTTAAGATCCTTGATACTGCTAGTAGTTTTCTGTCGTATTAATTGTCATGGAATCATTTCAATTATGAAATTCTTACCGTAATACCGAACTTCGGGATTTTTTGTTCTATACTAATACATCGCTTTATGTACCAGTTACGGTTACTAGCGAACGGTACGTGTAAAGTCCTTCGAGAACTAAAGAATTAAACAAGAGGATACTGAGGTGACGTACTGATTTCATATTTAAATCAATATTTGCCAGTCAACTGACGAAAAATTATGTATAGATGTGCTCTTCATAAAATTTATGGCTGGGATTTTTTGTGTGTACGGTTGAATATCTCATCGCTATCATTTTGCGCATAATATGTACGAAACTTTGACTAAATCCACTGAAATTGCTTTTTATTCTAAATACCACTCTGAAACATAAATATTATAAATAAAGTAGTACTATCAAATTTAGAACTTTTAATGTGGTACTATCTCTGTTTGGTTGTGCATATTATAAGTATGTACTTATGTTTTCCGGAGTAAAATAATCATTAAGAACAACTTTGCGATGGTAAAATTGGGGAGCGCATTTAAGTTTTTATCAAAAGTGAAAATTGTTGATTTATTCTTGATCCGATAGTAAAGCTGATTCTGTGAAATACTCATTAATTCTGTTAATGTGTTATTATTCCAACATCACCCCAACAGATGTTCTGTTGTATAATCATTACCAGTATTATCGGGGGCTTTCGCTTGGATTTATATCGTAAAAAATATTAAAAGTGGCTCAATAACCTCATTAGTTTTATTTGATGTTGAAAAATAATCACACTAAGTAGTCAATAATTGACTTCTAAATACAGATTGAAGAACCTAATTTTCAAGCATTTTCGTTCCGTATCATATAAACAAATAAATTATTTCTCATACAAAAAGCAAACAGTTCTCAGTCATCTGTAGTTCGGAATTAGGTAACCGATGTCATCTGACAAAGGGCGTGACTTCAAAGTGATTCTTTAAAACAGCATTATAAGTTTCTGAACTGCACTTAATGCTCACTGTTCAAGTAACGTGAGTTATTATTGGTTGTTAGAAATAAAAAGTTTTGCCTGAAGATAAGTGTATAATTTACTGAAGTAATTCCCTCACTTGACTCACTGTTAAAAGATAATTTGGATGATATATTGTCCCAAAAAATCTTATTCCAACATATAGGTCATCATTTAATTGGGTAAATTTGTGGGGTTTTATCTTCTTTTATGTACCTGTTATAACAGACTTAAATCAACTGAAAAATCAGTAATAAAGAGGAGAGATTGATCTCAGAGGTTCACGCTCACACTTTCTAATGTTTGCAATAAGGATGATTAGCAAACTCACTAGTTACTAATCTGAAGAGGTATGCCTTCGAGTTTTAATGAAAGGTCGTCTGTCGATTCGGGATTGACTCAACTATTCCTCTGTGTTGTCAAATAGAACTGCTCTTTATAAAATGTGGGCCAAATACATACTTATGCACTAGATTTCAGTAAAATTTGGCTACATGCTATCCAATTTAATAAAAGTGTATAAAACTTGCAAAAATAATGTTTTTTTTCCACTGACTAGTCCATATGAAATAAAATATAAGTTGTACCAAAAGATGCGTAATTTATGCCACCCTAGGTGCTCATATGTAGTCTTTGTAGTGGCTAACTTTAACATCTTAGTAGATAATGTAAGTTTTGTATAGAGCTGCCTAGGTAGAGCTTTTGACATTTCACCAAATAGTGATGATGTCAGTCAGTTGTATTACAATGAATAACGACCCCAGGCTCGAAGGTTTTGTTCATCCTGACGACCTACACCAACATACTTGCAGTCACAAAAATATCACATAGCGTCCTCTGACAAAAGTCAGTTTGACATTGTTGGTCGTTTCTTGTTTAACTTTGTCATTGACGTACTTTTAGAGATAACACTCTCCTCGTCTAGATTTCCAGGGGTTGAACTTCTACCGGGAGGTTCACTTGTTGACTTAGAATATGCTGATGACATAGTTCTATTTGGTGAAGACGCTGACAAAATGCAGTCTTCTGACCACTCTAAGCAACAATGCAAACATGTTCGGGATGAGATCCTCCCCCTCGAAATGTAAAATGTTGCTTCAGGATTGGGTTGCATCGACACCCGAACTAGTGATAGGGAGTGAAGTAGTTGAGTGTGTCGACCGCTTCACTTATCTTGGAAGTCTCATCAGCCCTTGTGGTTTAGTGTGTGACGAAATCACAGCATGGATACAAAAGGCTCGACTAGCTTTTGCCAACTTGCGTCGTTTATGGCGTAGGCGAGATATCCGTCTATCAACCAAAGGACGTGTTTACTGCGCAGCAGTTGGTTCCGTCCTACTTTATGGCAGTGAAACGTGGCCGGTAAGAGTAGAGGATATCCGTAGGTTAATAGTATTCGATCATAGGTGTCTTCGAAACATTGTTCGTATATCCTTGGACCACCGACTAAGTGATGCAGTTGTTTGGAAACGGGTACTAGGCAAGGATGGCAAATCAATTGATGAAGTAGCAAAACTTCGTCATTTGAGGTGGCTTTGACGTGTTACGTCTGCCCCACCACCAACTGCCCCGACGAGCGATGCTTTATGGTGTAGGAGTAGGTTGGAAGAGGAAGCTAGGGACGGCCAGACCAAAACATACCACAAATCCATGAAGTCACTGACAAGTGGTCTGAGTCATGTTGGTAGGTGTAGACTACCTGGTTGGGGACCGCGAGATGATACCAACCGATGGTTAGAGACCCTGAATGACATGGCTCAAAATCGTTTGCAATGGCGCAGGTGCATACACTCTTTGTGTTCTCCCAAATTTTAATCTCCTGATTCCTCCTTGTCTCTTTTTTCTCTTCCGAAATTTATTTCACTGGATTATACTCTTTAAATAACATCTCCAAACCCTAATCTTCCCGATTACTGCTTGTACTATTACTACCTCTACCACTACGGGATTTGAATCGACCACTACATCTCTGTGCTAATGTGGTATGGCAACTCGAACTGATGTAGATACGAACGAAGTTCCACGTTGTTACTGACTGACTGATTGTTGGTCGTTTTAAGACACATATGTGTTTCAACACATTGCTTTATATAAAGAAATAGATGTCTGGATCTCACCAAACATTAGAAAATAAAAATAAAAACGTCATCTATCCCATCTTAATGATGTAAATACCGAGGGTACATTTGTACAAAATTAGCTAGGCAATTGATCGAAGAAGAGGATGATTTTTATTCCGAGTCTGGTGTAATGACATCAATAGCCGCAGTTGATAACTCAGCCAAACGTAAGGAGGGACGTTAGCCTGTTTCGGCAGCTAAATTAGTCACTTATTAAAGCTCATCTTGATAGGTGCAGATCACTTCAATGTTTAAATGAAACTAATGCATAAACCGATAAGAAGTTTATACAATGACCATAAGCGATAAAATACCAAGTAAATGACCGATGGACGTTTATGCCAATGCACATATTATTTATGTTTGCTTGGATAAAGCCCATATGTATGAAAACTTAGAATTTTTTATTGTAACAAATGAAGTAAAGCTCAACCTTCAACATTCATTCTGCACATTTATGTTATTCGTTGAATAGTAGGATCAGTGATGTCGATTCATTGATCTGGTTTTGTCGATATTATCAGTATGTTTCACAATTATTTTCCAGTTAGCTTAGTCATTCTTATGGTCTTTAATAAGTATAATCTACATTTTTACTGACCGCTATTAGTGAGAACGTGCACTTCGCTTTTTATCATATGTCCAACTATGATATTGTTTAACTCTGTATCCTTAACTCGTAGGTAGTCATCGTCAACACTCACGAGTAACAGCTTACATTCATAAACGATGGTTTTTAATGGTTATTTGTTGCCGACCATTTAAATAACCCCTTGCAGATTATCATTTTAAATGTGAAGGTTAAGAATAAATCCAGTCTAAGGAAATCAATAATTCAGATAAATAAAAAAGTTGTTTAGTCCGCGTATTCTGGTTTTAGTTCTGAGACTCATTCCTTTCTTCAGGGATATTACTATAATTAATATGTGGAAGTTGTCACCCCACTTATATGAAGCAGCATACTCTGGATTTGGTAGCTGTAAGAAACAAGTGATTAATTAGATCTAAAGAATAAGAGAAAACACGTTTTCTATTTCATTTATTTTCACAAAAGTGAATCAAAGGTAAATGTCGGAGGTTACATAATAAGGGTATAGGTTATTCTTCATTTGTAAGTTTAGCACAAATCCGACATCATCCTGAAAATAGTTGTAGTTATGAATGCAAGTTTGGTGCTCATCTTGTTGTGCTAATGAGGTATGGCAACTTGAACCGGATGCATATATGTGTAGATGACTGGTTCCCAACAATCACATATGCCATTACTGCAACATCCACTCCTGTGCACGTTAGATAATAAATTAAACTGTGATTAGTGAATGATTCATTTGCCTGGTTCGTTTAGTTTATCCTTAAGAAGTATTTATTTACCCATTAGGATTGATTTCTTAATTCAGATTTATGGATATGTTTTCGTTTTGTCTTTCTTTCTGACTTAGAGTCTCATTTACTGATTATCTCTTTGATAAGTATCTTTTCAAATAAAACTACTTTGTTGACCCTTTTCGATTTTCCATAAAGTCTGTTTTTGATTCTCATTTTTTTACCCGCTGTTTCAGATCATGACGGATACTCAACAAGCAAAACAGTCTCTGGCAGATATTGAAGCTCGACATCAAGACATTATGAAACTCGAAAAGAGTATTAAGGAGTTACATGATATGTTCATGGATATGGCAATGCTTGTTGAAAGTCAGGTTGGTCATAAAGACTTTATTTCCAACTTCTTAATAATTTTACCAATCTTCTGGTCCTCCTGCTCACTGTCCTATAGCACTCGAACGTATCATTAATGATTCAAAATATACTAAAATCAACATTTTGTCAAATCGTAGTTATTTTTATAAGGCAGTTAAATTTTTTTTGCCCAACTGTTGTTTATTTAAGTTTATACTGACTTAACTTTAGATAGTTAGTCGCACACTTTTACAACTAAGTTCACGTAATCCTAAAACTTCCTACTCCACTTTTACTGGTCGTTAAATTTTTCAAATATTTAAAAATTTTTACTTTCGTAATACTAGTGTACATCTTGGATGTTAATCGAATAAAACATTTGATGGTCTGTCTCTCGTTACAGACAATATTGATCTTTAAGAGAGTGGCTTTATCCAACTCTATTATGTGATTATGTGTAAACGTATGCTTCCAAATAGTTGAGTTTTTCGTTACTTATTTTGATTAGCTTAGATTCTACACACTCAGGTTCTAATGCTATCATATTTTATCTGAATCTAGTTGGTTAATCAAGTTACGTTGACTGCAACTCCCTTTCTTCAAGGCCTTATCGTGCTTTCTACTACTACAAAATATAAAATACTCGAACGTCACTGTTGAACTACTAGGTCTTAAATTGACTACTTTTTGGGGAAATTTTAACGAAAACGTCTACTTGACATATTCAAAATCATAGAATCTTTTACGGATCTACCAAGAATCTTTTAAAGATTTTCACCTAGTTTTCCTTCTTATATTACAGAGTTTCTTTGCTTCCAGTCTACTTAATATATACCAGAATAAATATTTTCCTTCGTACAAAATAAGTTATTTACTTTGATTTTTAACTAACTTCTCACTTATCATATGATTTACCTTACCCAAATCATAAATTACATATTTACTGGTAATTAAGTTTTTAATTATAATGACTTTTAATCCTCTTTTTTTGAATTTCGCCTAATTTAGTATACTGCGAAACAATTCACAAATCGAGTTATTGATTTTCAACTTCATTTATCTGATGCTTTCACCCTATGACCTCAATTTTTTTTAGATTCACTCTCGTGAATAAGCTTAACCTCTGATGTAGAAACATTATCGTAAAAGAGTTTAGTGACTTTTTTGATAGAAAATTACTTACAATACAGTTGTGCGATTGTATATGACTTTCTCATATTTGTAGCTGCGCATTTGAAAGTATCCTGACTAAACAAAGCATGGTAATTCTATTCGCATCCATAGGTTGGTACTCAGATTTGCACATTCAGTATGAAAATACACTGCTGATTAATTACTTTTTTAATTTAGAAATTTCATTTAAAAAAGAAAGTATTCATACGCTTAGCCCAAAACTAGCCAATCATAAAGTACATTATAAAATCACTACTCAGCCTTAGAAAATTCAGTCTCTTGTTGCCCATAAATATATACATAACCATAAATTATTAACTATTCTTTTAGGGCGAGATGATTGATCGAATTGAATACAACGTAGAACAAGCAGTGGATTATATTGAAAGTGCAAAGGCCGACACAAAGAAAGCTGTTAAATATCAAAGTTCAGCCCGGAAGGTAGGCACTGTCACCGGGTGCAAATTGTGTCCATTCCAAGTGTTTCTTCGATGTCAATCGATTCACGTTGTCTCTGCTTGATTGTGTTGTTATCTTTTTAAATGTATAGCTATTTATTGTACCTGAGTTTTATGGTGAATCTTTTATTGTTTTTTTTTTAATTTCTGACTGTGATATATCTCGATTTTTATATACTGTCACTTGTTAATATTGTCGTTGTTTTTGTTTTTAATGTCTTGTCTTAATGATCACTTATTTGTTGTAAAACGCTGTTGTTATTGTTGCTTTTATTGAGTAACTTTTATATTTGAAGAATTGTTTTATCTTGCCTTTTTCTAATGTTTTTAACTTGCATTTTAGACAAATTTTTTTTATTGAATGCATTTAAGAACTATTTTCATGATTATTTTCCTAAATTTCTTAAACAAATATATTTGTTGAATATTATTTAGACAAGTTGGCTTGAACGTAGGAATGTAGTCTTTCAATCTATAATACTATTAGAATTCAGTTGATCGTGGATCGTATCTGGTGTTTGACATTTAATGTCAATCATACTTAAACTGTTCAAATTAGGTTTTGTGCTTGACACCTGTCAATGATGTAGATGAGCTATTCTAAAAACTATTGTTAATGGGCTGGAATAAAAAAGTAACGGTCTCGTTTCTGCTTATTGATTATCATCAAGTTTTGCTCCGCATAATATCTAGCTTATTCGGTGTAGTGATTCTCACCATACTTTTCAAATAGTTCCTTTTTGGCAGAATTGTTATAGATGGTGTATATTTCCCGATTTCGACCGTCTTATTTTGTTTAGGTCTTATTACATAACGCACACTTTTCCGCAAACTAGTTCATTGTTTTTAATTATATTTAGCCCACAAAAGCTATCCGGTTAAAAACTAAGCTTGTTTACTCATACACCATTCGTACATTATTTGGCTGTTGACTAATTTAACAAAATCGCGTAAACAATTTTATGAGCTACTAGTTATGTTTCCCCGTGATTGTTTTGAATTTAGTTTTTATTTATGCAGTCAATAAGACAGGAGCAAAAGTTATCAGATCAGAGTCTCGCTGTTCCTGAATCTGTCTTGTAAAGGACTTCTGAACGTTTTGAGAAATGTTTGACAAAAACGTTTCATGAAGTTACTTTTCTCAAATGATTTAAACCCCACAACAGTCCCCTCCAGGTTTTTTCCGGTATTCAGAAATACTTTTTCAAGTGTTTTGTTGTTAAGCCCAAAGTTCGACCAGTTGAAATCGTTGTGCAAATTACCTAGACTTAGGAGACCGTGGGTGGTGTGTACATTTATACTACTTGAACAACATATTTTATTATTTTTCCTTGACATTTTTGCGTTAAATACATTTTCTATTGTCTTTACCGAATACGCTCCCACAAAGGTTTAGTGTGTTAGTTGACTGGGATCATCAGGTGGCGTTTCCCTAGTAGCGTGAAATTCCACTCCATAATATCAGCTAACTTGGCTTGAAATTACTTCTGATCATATGGAAGCAAACCCTATTTTGGGTGTCCTGTCAATTAAGTATATTGAATACAGTTTTTATTTAAGAATTATCATCTGTGTAGTACTTTTTCTATTTCTAATGAATAACTTTGCAGACTCCACCAAAAATTTTGTCTAATTTATAAAATCCTTTTGTGTGTTACCTTCAGTCATCCATACTGAATTTTCCAACTATAAAAATAGGTCTTGTTATGATGACATTAGTACTCATTTTAACTGAAAATAACATTTTTTGAGAAGCGATATTATTAATT